AGATTTAACATGTCAAAATTTCATAAAGGTAAATATAAAAAATAACTTGACCTCTGGGCTGACATTCCCAGTATGGCTTTGAAACACAAGTGTTCCAGTACTTAGAATGTCAACTACACAGGGACAACAGCAAGAGGTGTTCACAGTACTGGTGGGTGCATAGTTCAAGTTGTTGGTATCCAATCTGGTTTACAGTACACTGCTGATGTTTGTCCTTTTTATTATGCCATCATAGTAGGCTTAACTATGTTGTTTTTAGGTAATACAGAAATCCGTGTTAGTAATAAAGTGTAATGCATCAATTATGTTAGTACAGGTTCTCTTTTGGCCTTCCTGGACAAATTAGCAGTAAAAATAGGGAAGTCTATAACTTAGTGATTTTGACATGTAGTCCATAGTGAGGAAAGAAAATCAGCACACAGCCCATGAAAATAATGAGCTAATTCATGTGTATCTTAGTGAAGTTAAATTTGCACTGGCAGGCATACAATATAATGTCAGTTCACATAGCCCCTCACTGTGGACCATAACAAAGATGGAAGCACACTAATTTTATATTTGTTTCATTCCCAATAAGCATGCAATATATTAACGTGTAGTTTAAACATTTATTTTAGAAGGTCAAAGCCTGTGATCTGAAGATCTGAAGAAAAAAGAGAAATTTATAAGATTTAATTTCTTTCCTTTCATGAAAAAATGCAGTCAAATTCTATATGAATATAACTTTCATTGTTGCCTTGTCACTGTTATGAGATTATGGCAGGAAAGGTCTTGACACTATGTGCTCCACAGCTAGGGTCAATCTAACTCTAGGAAAAAAGTCTGAATTTTTAACTTGCTATGAGATTGGAAGTCATCAATGACTAGATTAAGCACAAGAGTTTTACTGATTGTTCATCAGATTGTTTGTTGAAGATGTGTCATCATATTTTTTATTGTTTATACAGTGACTATGATCATCACATTTTGCACACATCTATGTATTTATTTATTTTTATTTATTTTGTTGTCTTTTGTTTTATAACTATTCTGATGTCTGTTTTTGCTTGTCTTGGGCTGGACTGCTGTAACACATCAATTTCCCTACGGGATTAATAAAGTATTATCTATCTATCTATAATATCATGTTCCAAAATTACCAATCAATTACAGTACAAAACGTTTTATAAAATTCTGAAACTGAACTGCATCTTTCAGTGATTCAGTGACCCTGCAGATTTAAAATTAATTGAACAGCTGTTTTCAGTCTGATTAGTAGCAAGAACTATGAATGGATGATTATGAAAATTAATTAAGCATAGATATGAAATAAATGTGAAAAAATCCATTGATCATTACTTCCTTTTTGCATTGACTGTTTTATTGTGAGGATGTATCGAAGTAATCAACTATTTACTCAGTTGCTGATGCTGTTGTATTTAGTTTTGAAACATCAAAATTCTTGTTCTGTCTCAAGTTAACTGTTAGTTCTGGAGCCTAATGACCACCTGCTCCATAGCTGGATGTAATCTCGGATACCTCTGCTTTCTTTTGGTTGTTGTGCCTATTGGCAAGTAAAATTAAATCATTGGTAGCAAATTTTCTTTTCTCCATGCAGAAGAGAGTTTATTTGGACATGGAATAGTTCAATTCCTTCCCATTTCCCTATTGCATCATGTGTTTCCCTGTATCTTCTCTGGCTTTTTTTATGAACAGACTCCAGCAATTAACCTTTGGTCTGCTATTTCCCAAATAGCCAGTGATAGTTGCCCTTTCCCAAGAAGGAGAGAGGGTTCTCCCTGCAAAAGATGAGTGAATGCTCTGCCAGAATTAAATGAGAAATGTTCTCTTGGAGAGACTGTTCTCATTTGTTTTACCACATATCTCTCTGCATGTTTGCTATGGGAATGGCCAGATGTTGTCTGTAAAAGTGGTACATACCATGTAAATTTATACATAAACGAAATTGAAAGGCATCAAATTTTGGCTGGTTTGTCATTTTCAGTAAATTGAACCTGTGGAGTCCTCTGCCTAATTAATCCTGTGGAATCTTATCTAGAGGTCTAGTTTAGAATGCAAGATTAACTGGGAATTACTTGCTGCATCTTGCTACAGTACATCAGTATCTCTGAAGACTCGATTAGTTTCACACATTCAATCTGAAGATACAACATCAGACAGAAAATGTTTTCTAAAGTCTGCATTACACAAGAATATACAGTACTACTGTACATTGCATGTCCTGGAAAATGTAACATAAGAATATTAAGAATAAACCAAGGTTTGATGAAAACAAATTATAGAAAGAAATAAAATTGATACCACCCCATTACGAATGTGACCTAGTTAAATTAAGATTGGTTCAGAGATCCAGTGAAACAAGAAAAAAACTGGTCAAGATACTGTAGCTTCTGAGACCCAAGGAATGAAAAACAGTACAGCCCTCTGTAAGCAGAGATTCTATTCTGTCTTATAAAACCATTTCAGTGGTGGATGAAGTGAGTACAATATACCCTCGTAAATGTAAAGCACTTTGAAATTATTTGTGAATAAATGCAAATAATATATAATAAAGGCAAAACGGAAGGAATTATTAAGCGCTTTGAGATGTGTGCAAATTTCTGAGTGGGTTTTGTTGGGAAATCTAATGTTAGAAGTACAAAGCCTGTGATCTGAAAAGGGGAAAAAAGAGAAAATCTGCTTTATTAACAGTTGAAATAAGCAGTATCAGCTTTGACCTACTGAAGATCAAACATGCTGGTGAAAAATACTGCAACACATGTAAGACATGCTCAGTATCCATACTGTATGTGCAACAGATAACCAACCACAACTTGACTCATCATATATTTTTTAAAAAAAAACTTCCGTAGATTTGCTTGTTTTGTCAAGTAGGTTTTAATACCTGGATTTGAAGTTGCATCTTTAGTAAATCTACTGGGTAATAAATGGGAACAGTGAGAACTTTATATGTAAAGTAACCTGTATGGACATGTACAACACATCTAGTGATTTTATGTAAATTATAAGCTATTCCTAGCTATTTTTCTTATTGGTTTGCTTTTTACGTGTTTGTTATTATGTTGAAAGATTTTAATAAGGAATAAATAATAGCAGCACAATAAACCATTTTGGATTTGCTGTGTGTTTTAAAATTCTTAACTTATTGGTTTATGGTAGTAAAGATTTATTTAGCATACTGAGAAATAATGAAAGCTTGCCTTTACCATCTATAGTATGAATGTGGTTGACGGAATTAAATGTGGCAAAAGGCTGTCCTCAAGGTAAAAGTAATTTATGCTTTATTTCTCTCTCATCTGAAAAGGTCAGATTGCATAGTTTTATGGAGGTCACAAAGAAATATGGACCAGAGGAGACAAGGTGATGCAACTGCATTCGCCTGGGAACAATGACTACTTTGTTCAATCTGCAGTTTAGTCAAATCTAAGGACATTGGCAGAAAGGTTTCCATAGAATTTTGTAGAGGGTTTAGGATATTCTAGGTAAATATTTGCCAGCAAGAATGCATATAATGTAGCATAAAGTCTATTCATTTTATCTCAATTTCAAATACTTTTTTGTAAGATGTTTTTTTTTGTTTTTATAATCCACCCATACCATAACAAATACAATAGAAAAACATTTATTCCCCATTGTGTCTGCAAATAAGGTCCCACAAAATAAAATCCTTTACAACAAAAGCTTTTTTGCAGTAAGTGGTATGATTGGATTGTATGATCTGTAGATTACAGTTTGAACTGAGAAAATCAAACATTTTATGCCTTTTAAGTTTGTTGTGGCTGCTGATTGACAGCTGATCCATGCTACTGTACAAATCCAGTCATTTCTAAAGATCTCAGGCAGTGTGCTTCAACAGTATTGTGGCTGGATATAATAATAAGAAGAATTGCTTACACTTATATAGCAGTTTTATGGAAACTACACTCAAAGAGCTTTACAGGTAGTGGGGACTCTCCTCCACCACCTCCAATGTGTAGCATCCACCTGGATGATGCGACGGCAGCCATAGTGCGCAAGAACTAGTGGGAAGGAGAAAATAGTAATGAAGACAATTCATAGATGGGGATTATTAGGAGACCGTGATATTAAAGATACGCACAACCTTTTTTGTAAAGGAGTGCATCATGATTTAGGGAATAAATGCTGTACACATGCCTCAGGGATTCTAGGTTCTTTGTCTCAGTAGTGAAGCACTGAAGTAGGTTTCTGGGTTCATCGTCATGGTTTTAAATGCTTGTCTGGAGTTACCCTCATTGTCTCCTTTTTTTTTACTTTAAAGATATTCAGTTTCTTTAATCATTCTAATTCCAACACGAAAGATGAGCAAATCTAGGACAAGCCAAGAGCTAACAGGTCTGCCACTAGTTCTTTTAATCTGGGTGCCTAAAGACAGTACAGGGAGATTGTAGCATAAGAGAGATACCGTATGGTGCCTTAAATGAATGAGCTCATTTGTGATGATGGGTGTTTCTAATGAGTGTTCACTAAGAAGAGTATTATTCAAAAAGGCAATTAGAAGAAAGCTTACATTTTGCCTTAGTATTATGAATCAATGTTTGAAAAACATACAGCTCTAGTTCCAAGTAGAAAAAATGGTGAGAGATTGTCAAAGACTCCACCTGAATATAAATACAACCAATTAATGCAGAAGGAATGCTATCTTGGTACTATTGCAAAAATATGACCATATAAATAATAGAGCGTGCCTATGTAGAATCAAAACGCCCATAGCTTTAATTTATTTAAGTAAAATATTATTTTTGATAACACTAAATGCTTTAGTATTAACAGAAAATTTAACAGAAATAGCGCAAGTAAATTGAAAAATGCAAAAAAATAATTGCAGCATTTGTATATTATTAATAAGCTTTCATACAAATGTCTTCTGTGGTCTTATTGATCTTGTTTCTCAACCATGATTGCATATTATTGAATGTTTCTTTGTTAAAACTCGCAAAAAATACAGCTGCTAAAGTATTTTACAATTTTCCTATGTATAGATTCCTACTTAGACTCTCTGAGAACCGAAAGACGGAGAGAAAACTGGGAGAGAAAACATTCCAAAGAAGGACGACAGATTGCTCAGCGCTCTGTCAGCAAGGAGCGATGGGTGGAGACCCTGGTTGTGGCTGACCCTAAGATGATAGAATATCACGGCATTGAAAATGTGGAGTCTTATGTCTTCACAATCATGAACATGGTGAGAGCTTTCTTATCTAGAGGAATGACATTTGCTGCTGCCTTCCATAGCCTTTAAACATGACTTTTACTATTGAGCTTAAACTGTACTTGAGCTTTGGTCAAAATTGAAACATTTAGGTGATATTTGATTCAGGCTTGACATTTGACCCACATGTGCCACATATTGTCAAAACATCATTCTTTCACATCAGAAAAATCGCCAGACTAAATCTCCTATGTTACCGCTAACTGTTGCTGAAAAACTGATCAACACATTTGTCTTCTCCTGAATTGACTACTGTAGTGCTCTACTTGCTGGGGTTTCTAAGTATGTCCAAGATTCAGCAGCCAGAATCCTGACCAAATCTAGTGCAAGTGATCACATTACTCCTATCCTGGAGTACTTGCAATGGGTTCCTGTCAGGTTTTGTATCAATTTCAAAATCCTCATGCTCACCTGTAAGGCTCTGCTTGGCTTGGCACCTCAGTTCCTGTCTGAATTACTGTCGCCATACTCTCCACTTCACAACCTTCACTCTCATAATTTTGGCCTGCTATCTGTCCTGCAAGCCCATCTACACTCTATGGGTGAGAGGACCTTCTCCTGTTATGCCCTGAAGTTCTGGAACTCTATCCCTAAGGATATCAGACAGTCACCTTCCCTACACTTTTTCAAATCTAGAGTCATAACCTTTTTCTTTAGAAGGGCCTTTACTAAACTGGCTTGGTTATATACCCCTTTGCTCCTACCATATTCAGTACCCTGTATTCAGTACTACCATATTCATATACTGTATGTCTCCTATCATTGTGTATTTTCATTGTGTATACTGTATCTTGTGTTTTTTTATTGTTGTCATTCTGTAAAATGCTTTTGAGAAGCCAGCTTTAAAGGCACTATATAAAATAACATTTATTATTATTATTTTATTGAGGAAGTAATGTATATTACTGAGGGTTTGTATGGACCTTTTGAAACATGGGTTTGTAAAGTGTTGTTTAACGTTCACTGGATGTAAAGGTGATCAATGAATCATTAAGAATTCAGTTGAGGCTCTTTTCATCCAAATGTGTTCCCACTCTCCTTTCATGTCTATTTTGTTCTTGTTTTACAAGCCAAGTAATTCTATGTGAAAGTATCCTGTGAATTTTCTTTGAGGGCCTGTCTGAAAGGCATTTAGAGATACTGTAATCACTCCAGGAATTCACAGAGCTCAGACTGAGAGCCTTTAATCTAACATGTATGGGGGACTGAGCATATTAAAATAAAAATCCTTATTAGATTTTTGCTTGTAGAAACTGAGTGTTAGTTTTTGGGAATTCCTCTTAAAACTTGAATGGTAATTTAATTTTTTTACTCTGATTTTTACACAGGTTACTGGGATTTTTCATGATGCTAGCATTGGCAACGCTATTCACATTGTTCTGGTGCGTCTTATCCTGCTGCAGGAAGAAGAGGTGTGTGGTCATGTTTCTTGTATGCCAATCAAACAGGAAATGAGATTGCATATACTTCTCTTATGATCTTTTGTTTTTTATTTTCCCTTTTTTATCTGTCCTCAGTGAATTCAACTGGATTGTGTATCGCCTTTTTACAGAAAGGGTTAAAGATCGTCCACCATGCAGATAATACCCTGGCCAGTTTCTGCACATGGCAGAAGAGCATCAACCCCCAAAGTGACACTCACCCTGCTCACCATGATGTTGCAGTGCTCATTACCAGGCAAGTGACTTTGTTCCATGAGAAACTTGCTTCTGGTTTGGTAGTGCCTCTTCACTACTGTGACATGCTTGCTTGCTCATGTGTAACAGGAGTTACTGGTTTTATTTTAAAAAATACAGTATATACAGTATATCTACCTAACTTGAAACTGGAAAAACGAAGACTTGAAGCTGCACTCCTTTGACAAGTCCCTCTGTCAGAGCCTTTCATCTTTTGGCATGCTGCACACTCCACCATTCCCAGCTGTTACTGGAGCCCTGGTGCAGCTCACACTGATGTCACTGCAAGCTTGCTTGCCCCTGAGAAGCCACAGGAGTTGATGTTTCACCCAGGTCCAAGAAGAGTTTGGCTTTCTGTTATTTGTGTGATGCACCTTTTGTGGATCCTGGTAATGGTTGACTAGTTATGTGACCCAAGCCTGAACCAGCAAAGGCAAAGTGCTCAACCTGCACTCCAAGCAAGTGCTATAATCTTATAGGTTCAGCAACTCAGCAACCTCGCATTTTGCTTCGATAAGAGAATTTCTAACAAGCTGTTAAAGCATAAAACACAAAAGTTGATTCTCCTTGGTTAAATCAAGGAGCTGGATAATGACTAACATGCAGACAAGTAAGATACATTATTTTCTTAATGAGCTGGTTGATATTCTAATCAAGAAAAGTTAAGCACTTTGGAGGAAACGCTTGAAACAATACTTTCAAACTTTTTAATTAGTTTGGAGGTAGAGGAGATCAAGAGCAACACGAATGGCAGGGCAGCCTTTTTATAGAGTTAATGGCAATTAAGATGTGAAGGCATTCTTTCTACTGTCATTGACTTAATTAATGTGTTTTGCATTGTGAAGGGCTTGAAATCTGAACAACTTGTCTTTATACATAATTGTACATAAAATAATTTCTTGATATCTGCAACATTTGCTGAAAACATTTCTGTTTAATATAGGAATATACTGACAGTGAGACTAACAACAAATGTATTGAATAACACTTTGAATAGTCCATTAGGTATCTTTAAATTACTCTATTACCAAAATAATGCTGAACAATCTGCAGAAAAATTTTACTAAGGCTAAGAAGCTAGAGTCAGAATCTTGTTAAATCAGTGTTTTCAGTTCTGTAGAACTATTTAACTAGTCTATGATGCTCTTCTTAATGAAGGATAATTTTAATATTTTGTACACAATTTGTGTTTTAAGATTGTTCCAGACCCTTACAACCACATACTTTTTTTTTCAATAATTTTGAAAACAGTAAGGAAGAGTGGGAAGTTATACTAATACTTTTTCTTTATTCGGTGTGACCTGCTCAGTGCTGATGTGATATATCCTCATGGTCAACGTGAGATTTTTCTGAGTTGTTTGGCAGGAATACTTGTTAATGATTTCTAATCAGTAAACATAAAACAGGTACTGTAGCAAAAAGTAAAAAGAAAAACACAAAAGTGTTTCATATCAAATATAATATGAAATGTATCACTTTTTTTAGATATAAGTATATACTAATCTATTTTTATCCCAAATATTTTTATTTTAATACTGTACCTCCCAATTTTGGAGTTACCAGTAATGAATCTGCTTGCATTATGACCTTAATGCTCACTCCAGCATTAAACATTTGAAGACCATATGCATGCTGTCCTCAGACAAGCATCACCAAACTAGTTTTCACACAGTGAGCCTACTAATGTATACAACAGAGTCATGTTTACTGGAGGAGTGATGCAGCTCTTACTGACAGCACTGGAAGTCCACAGCACCAGTCTAGGCATTGGCATAACTGTTGAATGGCTGACTAAAGAAACTCTAGATGACTGAAGCCCACAGAGCCCTGGAAGCACTTGGCCAGTATTCTTTCCGCTACTGTGGGGTTCCAGTCGCAGAGGACTAATGACATTTTACTGCTTAGTATGCCTCTGCCCTTTTAGCACAAAATCCTTTCCAATCCAAGAAACACTGCAGAGAAAACATTATGAAAGCAGGAAACTGAGAGCAATTTGCCTTGATTCGTCTGTCAGAAGGCTTTGCTATATTATATATTTTCAGTGTAAGTGTAATGCAGATGGTGGTGGTGTTTTATTCTGTAGAAAAGATATCTGCGCTGGGATGAATAAGCCCTGCGAGACATTGGGACTCTCCCATCTGTCTGGAATGTGTCAGGCCCACAGAAGCTGCAATATCAATGAGGATTCTGGCCTCCCTGTTGCTTTCACAGTGGCACACGAGCTGGGACACAGGTAACGTACTGTAGTGCATTATAACTTTTCCTTTTCCTATGTCGTTTCTTGATAGATTTCATGACCACTTTAGTATTTTTTTGTAGAGAATAAAACTTTGACAACAAATGTGATAATCTTATTTCTGCATATGTTCCTGTCGGTATTTAGTTTTACTCATTAATAGATATTTCCAAAGCAAATTGGATTTCTCCAAAAAATGAATACAAAGATAACATAACATACAGTACCATTAAATATGTTCTTTCAGTCCAGCTGAAACCTTTTCATTTTTCATGTCAATAGCTGTTGAATCTAGATTAATTCCAGCTCTGAGAAAATGAATCTTTGAAGAGATATATTGCATGTCTTTGTCATATGACAGATAAGATTTAGTTAATTTAGTTGGGTTGAGATATTCTTGTATTGGCTTTGTCCTGTAAATATATTCATATATATGTATTTCATTTTATGCCATCTGAGAGGTCAAAAGCTCAATGGAAGTGTTAGGGGTGAGTATTAAAAATGTATAAAAAGATGTGAAATTATTGCACTTCTGTGGAAATGTTACTTTAAAACAGACTCAAAAAGTTCTCATTTGAAATAAACTACCTCCTGACATAGAATACCTTTGTCTCTTAGGAAGTTAATAGTCTAGGTTTAATAATTTATGTCTTTAGGGGATTAAAACACTATGGAATGGTGTTAGTTGTGTAAGTGGCTTGCAGTTTTCTTAATGTTTGTTCAAATATTTAGTTGACTGTTCCTAAGAACATAAGATACTTTTAATGCCAGTAGCAGTATTCCTGCCTTCTAGACTAATTTAATCAGATGTCAGAAGCTAAACTGGGCCTGAGAAGTGCTGGAACGGGAGACTGCTAAGAAAAACCATGTGTTCGCTGCAAGTGGTGTTAGTGCTGTAGCTCCTTGTAATGTTAATTCTTTGTTCTCTGCCTGTAACGTTCAAATATGTTTTTTCTAAAAACTTTCTAAAATATTGATTAGCTTCCAAAACAACTCTCAAAAGGCCGCATTTATCTTTTAAATATTTCTTTCATAAGTTCAATCACACAATCATGTGTGTGCATAAATGTGAAGGCTGGTGATTTCAATATTGAAGTACAGTGTATAGAGGCTCAGCTACAAGCACTTTGGAAGCATACGGTATTAGGGAGTTGAAAATCTTAGTTTTTAAAGTAACATTAGTCACAAATATGTAGCAAGAAAAGTCTGGATTAGTCTGCTTTTGAATTAAAGCATTTAGTTTAAATGAATTATTAAATTATAAGAATATAGTTGGTGCTTTAATAATTATTTATTTTGCTTTCCACCCGAAGAAAGCTCCACAGCTGAAATGTGTTTCTTTTCTTCCCTTTTCAGCATGGAATAAACCTTTACTTGTTCCTTTGCAGCCTATGCATCCTGTCGCAGCTACCTACTTGATTTATTATTTTTGTTTGTTTCAAAGCATGCTATTTAGTCGTTTTTTTACTGTGTATCTCACATTTGACTATTTTCCATCCTATTATCGGGATGTGTATGAATAGAGTAATTTCAGGATAACACAGAGGTCAAATAAATGATCAAAGATAATTTATCAAAGACTGAACACTGTAAATAATATTACTATATAAACTTTAAGAAGTGATTGATGGAGGAATTGACAGATACAGTGCCCTGTTTATGGAGATTTGTTGTTTTTGATGTTTGATGTTTGCTGGAGAATAGGGCAAAAAAGTCACACTGATCACAAATTGAAGTAGCGTTTTTCAGGAATACAATTTAGTCCTAGATCTCAGCCATCACATCTCATCCAGAAAAACAAAATCCATTATTATTCACAAACAATAATTGTGGTTGTAATTCTTGTCTTTGCAGTTTTGGGATTCACCACGACGGGCAGGGAAATGACTGTGAACAAGGAAGGCATCCCTTCATAATGTCTCGCCAGTTACAGTACGATGCATCACCGCTCACATGGTCAACCTGCAGCAAGGACTACATCACACGCTTCCTGGAGTGAGTATAGAGCTCCAATGTTAGCAAAGCACTGAACATTAGGAACATCACTGGGATTAAAATATTGAATCCTGCCGAGTCAAGCCCAGCAAATAGTTTTCACTATTAATGCATTTGCATGTTCCAATGCAAGATGAATTTAAACTCAAAGCTTTTCTGTAAAGTGATTTTACACTGCATTTGGTATTTGTGTAATTAATGGTGGTTTTACATGTCTTACTTAAATTATCCTCATGGCACTTTGTAATTCCTCAGTGTGTCCTACGTTTCAGTATAAATCATTGCTACAGTACCTATAAATTTAATCTCTGTCCATATCTGATTCAGTGTACCTACACATTGCTTGTTGAATCACCACCTCTGTGCACCCAGAATGATGACTTGGAAAAATCTGATAAGAGTTTATTACTATTATTGTTCTAGTATGATGAATGATGAAGGCACTACTATGATGAGATAATATTACTGGCAGCTCTTAACATTTGTGAGATCTAGAAATAAAAAGTGATAGAAAGGAGAATATTTATAAGAGAAACACCAAATTATTTTAAAATAATTTGAGCAGAAACATAGGCTACAGTTTTAATTAGAAATATTGTTCAGTGTTGGAAAGATAATAATAATTTCATACACTTACTGTATATAGTGCTTTTCTGGATGCTCCACTCAAAGTGCTTTACAGGTAAAGAGGACCTTAGAGTGCACTAGTACACTCACCACACATCAACTATAAGTGGGGAAGAAAACAGAGTAATGATGCCAATTGATAGACAGGGATTACTAGAAGGCTACAATTGGTAAAGGCCAGGGAGACATTTGGCCAGGACACCAGGGTTAACACCATCTCATCTTGCTATCACTATACTGGGGCATTAGGACCTACATACAGTAGACTGCAGGGTGAGTGCTCCCTACTCTCTGAAATATTCATGCTTGGCATTAAGCCTAATTAAATAAAATAAAAGCTTACATGACATTGGACCATTAAAATGGACCCATGTATGCAAATGGCTCTGACATTCAGAAACTAAAAAAAATGGTCTTAATTTTTCTTGGACACTCTGAGGTTCAATTTCTTAAAACTTAGTGATAACCCTTCACACTACAATGAGCACATGGGATATAAGTGGTGTTTCTTCCCTTTTAATTTTGATATTATGGGAATATGCCAATACATGAGGTTAAGAAGTAATGTTCATCTTTTCACTCTCTGATTTTTAATCCTTGATGTATCCTTACTGTATATACATCTTTTGGAGGGCTGGGTGGTAATTTCCTCATTACTACACACCAGATAATGAGACTTTGCACTGGTTTTTCCAGCTAAGTCATGTGTTTCTACTTAATCAGATCCCAATAGTATTATATTAAAAGCTAGGGATAAAACTGGTAGATAAAATGGAAAAGTAAGGCAAGAAAATGTCTTTGGAATAAAGTTGACTTCAAATAAATGTAAAACCAGCTAATAAATTGTTTAACATTCCTCTGAAACTTCAAACTTATGTCTGTTATTTTTTCATCAGTTAACCTGATGAATGCAAACTAAATTAAAAAATGAAGAAATCAATTAGTAATTATATTAGCAAGAGAAAGGTTGGTTTTAAACTCTCCTGCCCCCATGTAGAGGGCTAAAAGACTATTTTTCTTTATTTTGTTTGTACTCTAGGGTGATAATTATTTCAGATAAATTAAAATGTCACAAAATGTGTCCATGTTGATTTTGAATAGTTTTATGTTTTTTAGACTTTCTTTTCAGAGGCATGTTTTCTCTTCCTGTATTATTTCTCATAAAACATTACTTAAGACTCAAAGAAATTTGTCATTTAGACACTATGTGTATTTTTACATTATAATTAATTGATTTGAATTTATTTTGTAACTTTCTACTGGTGTGGTGAACATTTTTCCCATGTAATTTCCTTACCTTATCAGGTATCTTGTTTCTTGTGATTTCTTTGTTTCAATTTCAGTATTTCCTAATTACAATGGTGGAAGCCACATTGAAGTCCAGGAGATGCGGTCCATTTAAAATATTACAGTTTGGTTTCAGATCATAGTCTTACCTTATGGCTGCTGCTCATACAGCAACTTAAATCCTCAATTACTACAGTATATGAGCTGCAGAGCAGGACTGAACGTCTCAGAGTGTTGTGTATGGTTTTGGTTACCGTGCTACAAAAAGGGACATTGCTGCTCTGGAACCAATTCAGAGAATGGGAAGGAAAAAACAATGTACAGCATGTGTATATATACATATATATAAGCTTTTGGCCATCATTGTTCACTCGTAAGTTAATTTACAATGGGGGCTACCACCACTAGTTCTAGTATGTTTGTACAGTAGGTTAGCCTAAATCACCTGTTTCTAACTATTGGGTCCACTTGTATCTTATTGAGCAATTAAATTAGAATAATTAACAAATCACCTGCTTAGTTCAGTTATTCCAATTAGGTCCTTTAGAAAATCATGGTTTAATGTTAATGTATAAAACCTGTAGGATGGTATATCTTGGACCAGGGCAGGAGTCTCTTCATCTACAGTCTGTTTAGAGCATTTTTTAAAAGTATGAATCTTTCTCTATCAGGTTTCATCTTCATTTGTTACATATCAGGAGGTGACTCTGGGACTGCTGGTATAATGTAGAAAGCAATGAACCAGGCACACGTGAAATCTATACTTACTTTTTACTTTCCAGCCTCGTGTGTTTCTTACATATTGTTTTTTTTAACCAGTTTTCAGTCCCCCTCCCCCCACCCCACACAAGCTTTACAGCAGGTACAGTAGATGCTGTCAAGCTGAACATGCTGTTGAATTTCAAAGTTTGCCTCAGGGAGCTTTGATACACTCATTAGCAATGCCACTGCTCACTTCAGTTAGGCATGTTGTCAGAAACACATTGCTTCCTGCGTGATTCTGGATGAAAAGTATTGTTTTCCTGTAGTGATGTTCTCAAGCTCTTCTTTGTATTCCTGTCTGAAAGTCGTGGCTGGGGTTCTTGTCTGGACGATCGCCCTTCTAAGAAAGACCTGACAGCTCCAGCTGCTGCTCCTGGGGTTCTGTACACTATCCATCAGCAGTGCCAACTGCAGTACGGACCCAGTGCCACCTTCTGTGAAGAAGTGGAGGTGAGTTATCCCTAATAATGGCATTAACCCACAATAAGTTCTTTTTTTTCTTTCCTGTTCCATCACAGGAGAATATTCTGGCAGTCTTGAAAAGCATGCTAACATTTGCTTTAGCAGATAAAACCATTGAATTGCTGAAGTCCTAGAAACTGGAATGATGAATCAGCATATGCTTATGTATCCCCAAGAACCAGGAATATAACCAAACCATGGCCTGGCCATTCAGCCCATGAGATCTTCCCATTTTTCTGTACATTCTGTTCAGGGTACATTGGATACATTTCAGTGTTCAGTTCTGTTCTGATAGACTGCATTGTATTAACTGAGCAGCAGTATGGAGTAGTAGTAGGGCTCTGAACTTGCAATTAGATGGTTGTGAGTTCAGATCAGTGGGGACACTGTTGTAGTATTTATCCGTGAGGTACAGTATTTCACTCAGATTGTTGCAGGATAATAGCCAGCTGTATAAATGTGTACAAATGTACTGTATGATGCACACTTATTAATAAGGCAATCTATTAATGCCTTATTCAGATTATGAATTGTTCACTAAGGATAACAACACCCAAGAAAGTATTATGGAGTGTTTAGACAAAATTTGGCTTAACCCACTTGGCTGAGGGCTAACCTCCTGGCCACAGGACAAAGAGGCTAGGACTCCTATGCAGAGTGAGGAGTGACCAAGGGGGAGCTGCAATGGTGGAGATGGGATGTATCAAGATGTACGAGAGGGAGACGAGGGGATTACTTTCGGTATTTATAGTGTTTTAGGAGAAGATATCATGTCAGGAGTGATTGCTAATTACTGACAGCTGAGTCTGATTGAACTTGGTTGTTGTCATCCCTCCTGAACATTCATTCTAAACCCCATTTAATTTCCCTGGAAGTTTACAAATGGCCTGTACTTTGTGTGAAAAAAGTTTCCAAATGTCATTGGAAGATGCTTAACAATTGTAAGTTGTGTTGTTTTCTTTTTTTTCTTCCTTTAAACATTTTAGTCTCCCCTAAGCCTTTATTTAGGAAAAATTGAAGAGATAGAGTTGAATCAACATCTTCATTTTAAGTTATGCCTTTTTTCCCTGCAATGAATCTGGCTGCTCTTCTTCTGAGTATGACCGAGAACTGAATATGAGTTATGGACATAAATTTAGGAAGATTGTCCTGAATGTGTCCTGGATCTTTAACGGTTATCTGTCCTGCTAGTTTGCTGAAACCTTCTCTGCAGTTGGGACACAGGAGCGGCTTACTCCATAGTGTCTGGCAACACTAGCACATGACGTGCCTGGCTACAGCATGCTAATGGCCCTCTCCCTTGCTTCTGGTGACATTTGAGGCATTATGGAATGCACAGAAAACTGACAAAGTGTGGCCTTTTTCTTGCAGTGAGCTAAGCCTTGAATTAAGGCCTTTTTAAAGTTGACCTGATCCTACATTGTTCCACCTGGACCAGGTTGGGAAAAAGTGCACCTAACGAGCTTTCATGTGATTGGCAAGTTGCAGTGCCTCACTGCACAAGCTGTATTGCTGGTCAGAGGGCTGAAAACAAATTGACAACTTTTTGTGAAAGTGCATAAGCTATAACTATAGTATTCTTATTCCAGAAAATGTTGCGTTTCTTTTTCACATCAGTATATATATCTAGTTCAAATTCTTAGATGTTATTATCATTAATTATTTAGAATATTAATGGTGGCTATTTTGACCTGCATGACTCTGATCTTGACACAACAAATCTGGGATCAGTAATCCAAAACCGGGCTGGTAGAACAAGTAAATAACAAGGATAAAGAAGTAGGATGGATGATTGTGGAGTCTGGGCATCTTTCATTTGTCAGGGAAGATGGTTTCTATTCAGTGGTGGCTAAGTAGACATGACGACTTTCACACTGTGAAAGATATTGCACAGTTACAATAACAAACAGCCTCTGAATCGTCCTTTTCATTGATGTTAAGGATTTTGACTTTTTGGAGCACTTCACATTGATCTTCAAGCCAAAGCAATATGTTGGGCCTATTATTGGAAACACATAGGCACTCATAAGGGACTTTAATTCTCAGTTTCATTTTCCTTAGGAAAAATACAGTTCCAGTAAAAGTAAACTGAATCGAAAAGAGAAACAAAAACAACTATCTTTGTGGGCTAGAACATTCAATAAATGATTGGTTCAGCTATGGGTTTATATTAGCCTTAACCCTTTGAACGTTTAGTAGTTAAAAGGAAGTTTGGACATATGGAAGTAAAGAGTAAAGTATTTTTCCATTCCATTTGTACTTAATAGTTTGTCAATAATGCATTTAAACTTTATCTATAGCAAAAACTGCAAAGATCTGTTGTTGTTTTAACTTAGAACAGAAATGTTCCTGTTGCTGTTTTGTGAATGTTGTAGCCATCCAACACAACCATATCAAGTAGTTTGAAAATAAGTCCCTGAACTCCTTTAGAGGCCTTTTTTCCCCAGACACAAGATTTCATCTGTATGTGGATATTGTTACGTTTTTTTACATTGTTAAGTTGCTCTTTTTTTTAAATAACTGAACTAACAAAAGAAAATGGGACAGCAGAAGTGTGACTTAGAATGATGACTAGGATTAATTAAATGCACATTTCATGTATTTCCAAGTACATAATCAAAGTGCTTTATACTGCAACTCTGTTTAAACTTTTAGGACATACAGTATGACACAGTCATTACTCCCAGGATCCCATTGAGTGTTTAGTGCACAATTGCTTTTGAAGCATTCAAAGGGTTAAATAGGAAATTCAAAGTTAACTTGATTGCTCAAAACTGTCATGGTTGAAAAGTGACATAATTTCAGATGAGACTTAATTGTATAAAGAAAAAAGCCTCTGGGTAATAATTGAATGATCCTAAAATAACTCCACTCTAAAAAATAAATTCTGGACATGGTCTGACAGCCTTTGTAACTAATCTTTCAAATTATTACTTTGTATGATTCATCTTTCAACTTTCATTTGAAAAACATCATCAGTTTTGTATCAAAGAGCCTATTCTAGAGCCTTCCTGTTAAAACAGACTAATAAAATCAAGGGCTTGTTCTCCAGCCATTTTCACCTTAAGTACCTGTCTTATTAATAAGTAAGAATGGATTTGTTTGAACTGAAGAATTGCCTGTGCTTTGTCATTAACAGAGACTGCTCTTCAGGAACTATATTAAAAGTGTCAATTTAACGAGAGGGCTGATTCCTTGTTTTTCATTTTGATTTAAATTATTATCCATTTCATATACAAATGAGAAAATAATTATTTCTGTTTTATGTTTGTTAAATGAATATGTGTTTTTCACTTGCTTCTAAGCTATCAAATAGCACATACAGGCATTGTGGATGTACTGGTATACCTAAACATCCTACTTTAAACATCATCTGTCAAATATGTGTACTCTATTGTACATGTATAAAACTGCCTTCAAGTTGTACTTATAAGACTTCTTTCTCTGAAGGCCTCCCCGTTGTACACGACCACATCTGTTCACGAAGTCTGGGAAATGAAGACATTTCTTGTCTTAGTGCAAGTTTTCTTTACTCAGTTTTTTCATAACTTCATAAAACAGAAGATGGAATAAAATCTTAATGGGAACATTACTTTTGACCTTTGTACTTCTGTATATCTTCTATAGATCAGGTAAACCAAAAGAACCTCAGCACGCCACCACCTCCAGACCAACACTTTTCTGGCTTTCCATTTTAGAATATACCCATTCCTGGATTCACCAATGTAATTCTAAAGCTGTTTATAAGGTAAAAATTTGGAAAATCAAAAATAAATCCCATTACTTTATATGTGAATTGTGAAAGAACACTGTTTATGTAAATAGCCCTACCGTATGTATCCTAGTATAGCAGTTAAAAAGTTAAACAGAGAAGGTAAAGAGCACAAGCACTCAGAGCTACTGTACTGTGCTGTGGGAGTTACAGCAAACAATTTGTAAACAAGGTGTTCCTAAATCAAGAGGTAGGTGTATTTTAAGATTATTATAGTAAAACATTTGCAGAATTCAGATAAACATAGCAAGAAAAGCAGTCAGTACATTTGTAGGGAAACTCTTGCAGGGATAGGTATTTAGAGTTAATCTCTGAGAGACAATGGTGTCTTTCTATGGCCTTTGTACATTTATTTCAGAACTACACTCAATGCAGTGTGACATCTTGTATTAGTGAATGATTAAAATCTTATTGTAGAAATATATATTTGGTGTATCTTTATTTTCCTGAAAGCAGTTGTATAATAAGATTAATGGACTCCAGATTGTGTAGTATGATAGCATAAAAACATTTCCAGAGTGGTAAATGGATTTGGCTGGCTACTTTGTATTTAACTGTAATAAACTCAAGCTTCTCCAAGACACACCGTGTTAAACAGTATTACTTTAGGAAAAAGTGAACACCTTTCAAAGTCATTGTGCTCTCAGTAAGCTAAGCCCACACTTTCTGTTTATTGATTGGGCTAATTACAGTGAAGGAAGCAATGCTTGTCCTTCTATATACTGTACTGTACTCCTACTCAAAAGTGACTGCTCAGAGAGAAGTGCTCCATTATCATCAAATAAATCTTCCTTTTTGTCCCACAGCCCTTCTTTGTGTTTGTGTGCTTATAATAAGATAAAAGTCAAAAGTTCATATAAAACTTGTTTAAATCTTCTTTTTGGAACCATTGGCAGTCAGTGAATTTTTCTTAAGAATATGCCATTAAAAGGTGAAGCAGCATAACATGAATACAGATTACGCACAAAGATAAAATGTCCTCACCTGTTCTCTCTCCATTCATTTGGTGAACTTCATAGACTGAAGGTATTGCATTTTATTGCATTATTGAATTTATTGCTTTTTTAGAAGAGAGAAATGGAAGAATCATCTCAGTGATTATAATATAATGTGCATTGTATTTGTAATTGTACACATTTTGTTAGTATACACTGGGATCCAACAAGTGGATATAAAATAAAATAATGCATTATTTTGCACTTCAGGTACAAGTGCAGTAAAACGGCTTCATTGTAGACATACCTCATTACTCTAGACACAGGTCTATTGTGAGTTCTACACAAGACCTGTGTCTAAGACATTGCAGTAGTACGCCTTTGATTTTGAGAAGAGACTATTTGAATTCATACAGTATATACACACATTGATTCATCTTCTTTATCAATTCTCATTTGGTTAAAAGAATAAAGTTGCCCTGCTTTTTTAGGTTTTTTACTGAAATACCTGTAGACTTAAAAGAAACCTTTATTTCTTATTCGTGTTTTCATTAGAAATTTGGAAGACAAATTTATTTTTAATGTCTGAGGGGCTCAGGAATAATGAAAACCTTGGATACACTGCGTATCCAGGTTGAAATAGTATTATTCATAAAACGTAAAGAAAGAAAATCTTGGGGCAATTGCTTCTATAAAATATAAAATATGGAACAGCAACATCAGAGTGGAGGTTAAGGTGTGATGGTCTGAGTAGCATGCAAGACTTGTAATGATTTATTGCAATCTGACTACATTGTTCTACATTAAAGTCTAGGCATGGGACATCATCTGTTGCTCTTCCTGCCGACATATGTTGACATCCTGACTCTTCCAATAAAGAGTCTTCCATGCATTTTCTAACCACTTCTTTCAATTTCAATTCAGGTTACCTTCCATTCAATGTCAGATTTTAAATTTTGATTGCTAATCAGATTGGTCGAATCTAATTCCTTCCAGTCAGCAAATGAGATCTACTGTAGCTACTAAAAAGTGTTTGTCAAACAATTGTTATAGCAGATGTGTCCAATTCATATTGTTGTGACACTAATTAAATTTCATAATGGAAATTAAATATTAAAAATGATAACATATGATAAAAAGTCTCAATGTACAAATAGAGGGAGACTTACCTCACTATCAAGTCACTCAATTTACTGTTCTCTACTCAGATACAGAATTCATGCTTAAGAATGTGCATTTTTACTGAGCTTTAGGAAACTAATTGGCTTAGCATGATACCAGCAAAGTTGTAATAAAATACTTTAGATTGCAGTCTTTAATGGAACTTTTTTTGTGTGTGCAATTACAGAATGTTTGCCAAACTCTTTGGTGTTCAGTGAATGGTTCATGCCGTTCCAAGTTGGACTCACCTGCAGATGGAACCAGATGTGGAGAAGATAAGGTATTTATTTGCCTATTCACATATTAGTTCTGCCTGCCATTCAGTTTTATCCTGATCTGCATTCAGATTATTCATTTTCAGTAAAAAATTTCAATACCCTTTTTGAGGTTTTGGGAGTTGACATGGAAGTTAAGTCTGCTGTCTCATAGCTCTTGGATTTGACTCCTTTGGTGTCAGTTTTCGTAGAGTTTGTATTATTCTCCCTCTGTGGCAGTTTTCCCTGGATACTGCAGTGCACCACCCACCTCTGAAAGACAGACTGATTAGGTCTGAATGATTCCTGTAAGTCCCAGGTAATTTATAAATCCAGGGCGAGAGAGTGCAGTTGTACTCTACCCTACAGCAAGGTACTTCACCCGTACTGTTTCAGTTAAGTACTCAGCTGTATAAATGGATGTAAATGTAACTTATTTTGGATAAACATGTCATCCGAATAAACATGAATGTCTCCAAGTTCCTATATTGGACTGGATCACTGTCTTCTTTTGTGCATGTCACTTTTGCATTGTGAATGCCTTTTTGGCACCAGCGCAGGAAATGCATTTTTGATTTGGTAGTGTTCAGTCAGATTTCTGCAGGAAGTGAGTAGCTCGTAATCAGTGCACAAAAACAATAATCCTAAACAAGGAGAAATTGTAGAAAGGGCAGCTGGAAGAGAATAATTATACTCATGCTGTCCTGTAAACCCCTGTATCATTATCTTTTGATGGTTGTTATTTAAAACAACTTATTATTACATTCTTTTTGTAGTACTGTATGTAGGTACATATAGTAAGTGTTGTCAAACACTAACCAGAGATATGTTGTGTAGTTCACTTTAAAATGTTTATTTTTCCAACTTTTTGATTTTTCTAAAAAAATCAGTTTTATCAGATAATTTATTTTCAAAATGAACTTTTATTTTTAGATTTAGTTATATTATTTATTCATTAAGAATTATTATTATTATTATTATTATTATTATTATTGTTATTATTATTTGCATTTTTTTTAACACATGAATTATCTAGCTTGATCTCATCAGTGGTACTGGTGAACCAGAAGGTGGCACTCTTGCCCCCAGACCAAAATTTTCAAAACAAAGTCCCAACATGGCAACTGGGGACATTATGCTTTAGGGAGACATATTACCTTAAAGCCCTGAAAACTTGATCATTATCCCCGGTGTCCTGGCTAAATTCTGGTGGGCCCACTTCTATATACAGTATCTTATGTTAACAGTATTATTTAGCATTACTCCAGAGGTTTCTGTACATGCAGTTCTCATTAGTGAGAATGATTTCCATGAGTTATCCTACTCTCACCCACATTTCTGCCTCCCTATTACATTATATCTGTACCTTACACTTAACTGTGTATTTAGGTGGGGTAATGACCCTTCAGTACCTGATTCTTCTAGTATAATGAAAGTTCAAAAGAAATATTTTTCTTCTTTTAAGTGTTATACTGTACTTCAATTATAGTGATTCCACAAGCAGAAAATTTTAAGTGTTCCACTTTCAAGTTATTCAGTGTAAATACTGTAATGTTACTTCCAAACTGTTTGAGTTCTCTTTTTTTTTACTTTCAAATACCAGTTTATTGATTTTTAACTTCTTTTGCTTCATGATATAAAGATGAAAATACATTTTCTAGGACAGAAATACACTTCTAGGAAAAAGCTGCTGATATATTTATGAGCAAATCACAACAAATATCAAAGTTTGAAGCGGAAAAACCTCAGCAGCATCTTTCTATCCTTAACTGTTCATTAACTGTTATTCATTAAATGTTCATTAGGCTATGAATATGCATTCTCCTCAGGAACAAAGGATACTGAATGTGACACACTGAAAAGCCAATCTGTGGAAAAGTTTGTTTAGCAATATAGTGGATAGTTACATCTCTAATATGTTTTGACTCAATCTTATTTTCAATCAGTTTTCATGGCAACTGATCAAGAAAGAGAAAATGTATATTTTTTTATGTGGGGTGATGAGTCACACAAATTCAGCATTGCAAAATTTAAGAAGGACAATTCCTCATTTAGTCTATTAGGTGTAACAATATAGTTGTGCTTCTTTATGTAACAATATTCAATCCAAGTTACTTCCTCTAATGTTCTTGTCAACTTTCTCATTAGCCTCGAATTTCAAGTAATTTACTAAGTTATGTTTTGTATGTGAATGACAAACCTAGTGTTCTGCTTTTTTTCAAATCTGATGTTATAGTTGTCCTCCTGTGTTCATTTATACAATCCCTAGGAGTCCATCTGCCTTTTCTAAGATATACTAAGATATGTAGCAGTAAGCAAGGACTTTCTGTAGCTTAAATAACTCCTGAAGAACAGATGGTGAAACACTTCAGATAAAAGATATCATGTGTTTTTGGTTTACAAGAATAATTCTTCTTTGTTTCTACTGTGCACTACAATGATTCTGCTTTACAAACTTAAAAATGTTTGAAAGTGGTAGACATAAAATATGCAGTCAAGAATGTGCTATCATTTTGATGTTTAAGTATTTTTTTAAATAATTTCAGACAAAGGAGATGCTGCAGATATGTTTGATTTCTTTGTTTAGTTTTTGAGATCAAGAATATAATCCATGTCAGAACTCATCTGAATTGATGCAGATATTCATTTTCCAATATTCAGATATAAGTGTTACACATCTTTTATGCATCAGTATAATTGTAGTAAAGTATATTCCTTAATCTGCACAAATTTTGCTATAAAATATTATCCAAGTATTTAGTCTTTTTTCATTTAAAATAAATACAGTACATACCCTGCAGGCACTTGGATCTACTTTTTAGAGCCTCAGTATTTGTGCCAGGTTTTGCCAGTACAGCAACTGTAGGTCTCAGGTGTGTGATTTGGAGGAAAGCATTTGTGGTCTTCATTGCCTAGGCAGATACCAACTGTGCAGCAGCAAGCAGAGTTGATGAAGAGGAAAAGTTAACTTTGCCTGAGTGGAATTTTCAAATGTAAGAAACACATGTCTGTACCTAGGTCTCCTTTAATCGTCAATGGATAACAAACACACCTTCCAGTTTTGTGCCATTTATTCCCACTTCGCAATGTGTCCCCAGGCTAAGCTTAGATAGAAATTCTAATCCCTTCTTGCTTGAAAAATTGCGCTGCAAATAATTGTGTCACAATCTGAAGTAGACTTAAAAATGGAATATCATGAGAAGTACAAACAACGGGATTAAAAAAGAATGAAACGGAGAATGAAAGACAGAAACATCTGAAGCATCCTGTCTCAAAAATAGGCGTTTTAATAAGAAGGTGATGGTGGTGAAAACAGTAACACTCTAAGGATGCCAGTAGGGTGCATCAACTGCAAGGTTTTTATAATAATGATAATAATATGGCTGTTGTAAAAGAATATTATCGTTAATAATATGGACTTAGTAACACTTTAGAATTATTTACAGATATTCTTGTGATTTTGACGGCACATTTATTCATGTGATCAAGGGTGACACTAAACTCAAAGACAGTAATGCTTCGTTATAACATTATTACATGGCTGTGATATATTTTTATCTTTTAATTTTTTTATCAAGTCATTTAAACATCAGTCACCTTATTTTTAGTCCTGTACTAGGCTATAAACTTAAGTTTAAAACATAAATAAGAATATAAGAAGGTTACAAATGAGAAGAGACCATTCGACCCATAGTATATGTTTGTGAATAGAAATAATTTTACAACATTATACTATTTAGATATATAATTATGAGGTGTATGAATGTTTAAAACTTCTACTACAAGGCGAGTATAATGTATAATATATGACTAGGAATGAAAGATGAATAAGAATAAGTTACTATAACTACTTAACCAGCTTCAGGGAGAAGTAAGGCAGCTGAAGATTTTTCTTCATCTAAATTGGCTTCATAGTTTCTTGGGGAAACCTGATTAATCATAAAATCACATTTTTGACAAAAAAAGTTAAAGGAGGAAGAGATGTAAAGATCTTCCTTTCTGATATGATAAGACAGTCTTCACAATTTAATTTCACACTGGTTATATAATTATTTTATTTTTACCTAAAGTGCTCTGAAAGCAGCCATGTTTAGCCTTTCATGTGAAATGCATATTAAAATATTCTGTTGTCAGACTTTTTTTAAAGGTTTTAGGCACAGTGAACAGACACCGGTCTTGGAACTTCAAAGTTCTCGTAGGCAACAGGTTAGAAACAAGGGCCTCTTGCAAAGTCTTTCCCTTTTCTTGCCTTGTGGGTCTTTAATCACCTCTGAAACATGGGTGCCTACTAAAGAAGTGTTAGCACGCCTACTGCTAGGTATGACACTCATTCGCATTTGGGTTAGCATTCAAAACTGCTCACCACGAAACCTTACATAGCTGAAATTCATACTCATATATAGTACGTTCACATTGTAATAATACAAAATTGCAGCTTTCTATCAACTAGAATGCATTTCTGCCATGCCTAAAAGGGTAACACTGCAAGCACACAGCAGGAATGATTCCAAACATTGCACACATAACAGACAAACTGCACACAAGGCAGTGAGCAACAAGGATGAGGATGCTGATTGATGGCACAAGATGGCAGCCTTTTGCTCCGTTGCTAATTACTGTAGAAATTTTGTCATCTTGATATTTTTTGTTATTTCTGTACTCTCTGAGAACTCTTCACATAGAGTAGAATTTATGTGAGATGGTGAGTTGCTGTTGTTTATTATGTTCCAGGTCACAGCGAGATTAACTCAAACTAGCTGGCAGAATTGGTGGTGGTCCACCTGCTTCTAAGTCCCTCAATGCATTCACAAGTCTTGTCTAAGGAAGACTTAAGGTAGTGTTAAAATCGTGTTAATTTTGGGAGTTGCCTGTAACTATCATATGTTCTTAATCATAAGATTGACATTGGAGAGTAAAATAGTCCTAGAAAGTTTTTTAAGTGGATAACTTAAGAGTTTCACTGAATATTTGAATACACAGGATTTGACAATGGTAACATACTGTACATTGGACTTCCAGTGCGCATGTAATACAATATGTGATTATTTGTAGCATCTTAATTGCATTTCTTGTACTTCTGTGATTATCTGTAAACAGTAGGACCTCATTTTAAAGTAGATGTATAATTTGTGACTATTTGAATTGTAATTTCATTTTATTCCAGGTCAACTTTAAGAAATGTGGGTTTGATAGGGATCACATTGTGTTTTCATACCATACATTTTAATATAATAACTCCTCTATATTAACATAAATAGATGGTTTATTTATGTATGCATATATTTGCAGAGTCTTCAGAACCCAGCTGAATTACAGCTCTTGAGGATAGGATTTGGTGACCCCAAAAAAATGTTTCATAAGTAATGAAGAAACCACTGAAACTCTGTCAGTCACTGAACACTGTGGACACACCAGACAATTGTTGTCACTGTGCACATAGCATGCAAGCCTTTTAAGTTTAAAGTTTAACCCTCTTTACAGTTTTTTTAGGGTAACCCGAATGTAATGTAATTAGCATGCACTTACATGAGTAGTTAAGCAGACCAGTCCTTATTACTGCTAAGAACGTCCACTTTTATTGGTGATAAGTGAAAGGAAAGTAGTTTGAAATTACAGTATGTCAATTACTTAGGTGTGGATGTCATGACACAAGTAGGAACAAAGTGAAGTGCATGTGAGTATCACTATCTGTTGTCAGTGCAGTCCTGATCTATTCTCAGAGAATAATTATGCTTGTTGCATTCCTCATTTCCACTCTCCAGTCTAACCTATCCTGAACATTCCCCATGGGGAAGGACTGATGAAGGCAGTGAATTCATTTCAAGAGCTATTGTTATTCTTTCTACTTTAAATGTTTGAGGTCCAGAGAGGTTCACTGTAGCTGTCTGTTTAGGTTCCTTGGTATTGTAATCACTATTGTTCCAGATTTAAGCCAATTCCTCAGCTGTTTAACATTACAATATCCATAAATAATTTGTAGTAATTGAAGCATTTAGTTATAGTTTTATTGGATATCTACAGAGAAATAATGTTTCACGTGAAACAATTGTTCTGTGTTTTCAATTACCTTTCCTTTAAAATGCTGGGACATGGGGTTATTTTTATAATGAAGGAAATAAATTCCATTATTTCTTAAGTACTTTAATTAATGTTATGAAGCATTGCTTTAAAGTAAAAAAGAAAATGTGGTTACGGGAAATTACACATGACAGTTGGGCTGTTGTACACAGAACACAAAATAGATTAATTTATCTAAATCAGTAAAGCATGTCTGAGAGTAAGGATATACTGTACTACAGAAGGAAATCTAGTATAATTATTCCCAGTCGTTTCATTTAAAAAAAGTAAAAAAGCTTGTAAAATATTGTGTAGTAAAAATTAATAGCACAATTTTGCTTGGCTGATTTAAATGTTACAAGAATATGATAAAACCATAAATCTTTCTGAGTGTAAATGACTAGGCTGTGTTCTTTCACCGTGGTCTTGTTTGACTTTACAAGAGCTTTGGTTCTTGGTTACAGAACAGAATCTTGAAATCTCCCAACATTTCTGAGTACTGAAAAAGTGTAATTTAGCATTTTTTGTTTAAGTTCCAGATTTGGTTTAATAAAAGAGAGAGACAGAAAATCATCCAAGAAATATTCCTATAAAGATTAAAAAACATCAAATGATTTCAGTGAAGATCCAGAGAAAATACTAACAAGAAAGATCTTTTCAGTCAAACGTCCTTTTTGGTTCCTGGCAAGGTCTTGACATAGGAGCTCCCTGGACTTTAATATCTTATCTCTAATGTCATTTTGAAATGTTAATCTGAATAATGTAAGAACATTGATAAAAATGAGAAAGGGATTCATCCCATGTAGACTGTTTGGTAGTTAATTGATGTCAGGATCTCATTCAACTGTTTCTTGAAAGGAAAACAAAATGTTGGTTTCAACGGCAAGGCTCGAGAGCTTGTTCAAGATTCTAGATAACATGGTAATAAGTCAGAAAAACCAACAACTGACAAACATACTAACAGGTTATCATGCTAATAAATTACAACAGAGACAATAATACTACACCAGTACTGCAGAAAGAGAGGGTGGTAAAAACATGGTAATTCTTTATTTCTTTTATAGCATGCTTTCAATTGCAATTGTTGCCATTTGCAGTGCATAAAACATTACATCTCTGCATATAATATGATAAAATATCAACGATATAACCTCCAAGGCCTTGACAGTCAAAAATCAATATGAAACTGCCTTGCAGCACTGGGGCCCTTGGTTCAATTCCTTGGGTCCTATCTGTAGTGTTTAAATGTTCTCCCTGTGTTTGCTTGGGTTTCTTCCAGGTACTCCGGTGCGCCAACCCACTAGTAGATTCTAGGGGTGATAGAATGAATGAATCACTTAAAATTCTAGAATCCAACACCTGTAGATAATTAATGAGGGAATGCACACAAGTCTTACTGTTTTTTTCTTCTTCATAGTGGTGTATCTCCGGAGAGTGCGTGATTGTGGGAAAGCTTCCTGAAACGGTGAATGGTGGATGGGGAGTGTGGAGCCACTGGTCTCACTGCACGCGGACGTGTGGAGCAGGAGTTCAGAGCGCGGAGAGGGAGTGTAACAACCCAAAGTGAGCAGGATTCCTTCCATCTTTTAAGATATGATTTAAAGGGGAACTGCAACGCTATTTTTACATTTCGGGGTTAGAAAGAATCATTGCATTTCAGATCACAGTAAAAGTAAAATGTACATGGTAATATGTAGAACCTTCAATTTACATCACAGAAATAAATTAAATTTCCAGGTATGTGCAGCATCATTTTCTGAGATTCGGAATGAGGCGACAAAAATTCCAGTGACATGAAGTGGCCCTATTACAATCTAAACAAGCAGGCTTGTGAATCTATTTCTTTAATCCAATAGAAATATTGCTCTCTACTTCAAGATGGTTTCGCCAATAAATGGAGCTTAATTTGTTAACTCTGTACACAGATCACATTGGAAACCTTCTACTGGAGTATCTGCTGCATAGCCTGTATTTAATTTGTTCGTATATCAGCATTACATTAGTCATTACGGTAATTAGCGAGCAGGAAAGGGGTTGCATCACATCAATATATATATACAGTATATACACACTGATACATCTGCTGTGATCAGCAATGCCCTTCATCTTCACCTTTCACACTTTTCTTTCACAAATCTCAATCTTTGAATGTCAATTAGCGTAGTAGGTTTTGTCTTCCTATAATGCAAGAGGCCTTCCTCTTCTTTGTTGAATCAATTTAGTTTTCCTTTTATTCTTCTTGGATACACCAATGTGTGACTGGGAATTGGCAAGTTCTGCCCTGTTCACTTGGCCTGGTAGTAACCTGGCCTGGGAGTTACACTGAAGAGTTACCTATCGAACCTCACTCCTATGTCTTTGTGAAGTGGAAGGATACTAGGGGACATTCAATAGCCAAACAGTTGGCAAACCAGCCTGGACTCGAGCCCAGAACTTAAGAGCTGTGGGGCATCAACACTCCAGTAAATGATCTAGCTTGATATGCTCTTTCTTTACTGTACATCTGGTTCGTGTGCTAATTAATTAATGTTTTTCTTTCACTTTTTTCACTACAGATACTAAATCGGTACATCTGTAGTGTCTGTGTCATTTTTGCATTGATGGTTCAAGGTGCCCATCACAATTTAGGCTACATAGCATCTTTTTGAGAAAAAAACATTTAAGCATGAGAAGAACATATCACCTTGCCACTTTTAACATACTACTGGATTAAGTAGAGGAACATACTGTAGCTTACTGTATACTCTATATATAATTTTTATATATTCAATCTGATCCACTTGCTCATAGTGACACACCCTTATATCTACAGAAAGCATGAACAGCACAAAGACATGGGTGCTGAGGATTCACAAAACTTAATTCCATATTTACAGATGCATCCACTCAGAACGCAAGGTATTTCTTTTAAACGTGTTACCTGTGAAGCGGCACATTGTGTTGTGTAATTCACTCGCCAAAGACAATCGATAGGTGGCACTTGTGGTCTGTTAGATGTTAGTGAAACAATTGCTTCATTTAATCTGTTTCTCTGCTGTGTAAATTTAAATCCACTTAATGGAATATTAATATGGAATTTTCCAACTAATGGGAAGCTGAAAATAAGTATATAAGTACATGTAATATATACCTAATTTAATGAAAATTTCAGCAATAAGTAATTAGGAAACAATTTAACTTTAAATTTTGATTATGAAAAATATATTTCACACATACTGTACTGTACTGTAGTGTC